GTATTTCCTAAAATAAGATTTGAGCCGAAGTGCTGGATTTTCAACATGTATTACTCTGCTTATGTAGCTAAGCAAGGATGCTTCGGCGGCAGTAAGTAATAAAACAGAACAGAATAAAAATTTCAAAACACACGTCATATGACGTGCCATTTTTTATTTTTTATAAACTATTTCCTGCAAAAATGTCGGAAATTTCAGTAGACTACAACAGTTTAAACATAGATTAATATATGTTCTTTACACATATTTACATTAATGTATGTTTAAACTGTTATAGAACATAATAGTTGTATATATGTACTGTGTACCTATTATGTTCTATGTCTTAATGAGCATGGAACTATTTTTCTTTGCGTATGTAGACTAATGAATATCAACTCTATTGTTACTGGGAAAGACTATAATATTCAACTTTCTACAGATATTTTTTGTAAAAATGCCTATATTCTGTCTCAACTAAGCTGATAGTGACGTCAATATTAATGTATAACAGCAGTTGTATCTTTACTGTGTAATTGTTTTTAGATTTAACAGTTTTAAAACAGAGTATTATCATGTTGCTCATTGTTAATAATTATATAGGCTAATTTAAGAACTCCTATAAATGAATTTTATGATGAAACTATATTGTGTGCAAGTATATTGGAATTCTTCCGTAATTCACTTTTCACCAATGACATATAACTACTAGACCACGAATCGGATAAAAGTTAACTAGAAACTAGCGCCGCTGTCTGAAGCTAAAGAAACTAGACGCCGCCATGACAGTCTAAGGCAAAAAGTGCATATGTTGTGGACAGGTTGTTTGTGGTGAATTATGGTAACTATTTCTGACGTACTTGCAATTTATTTAGACTCGAGTGTGCGGGGATCGTCACAGAAGCATAACAGGTATGCCACCGAGTTATAAAGTAGGATCTGGTATCAGGTTTCACCAGTAAGTTAGATATAGGCTCAGATATAGTTGCTGTGATATTATATCGTCGGTTGGCGATCAAAATCTCGTAACTCCTTCTGAAGAAATATTTCTGGAGAAACATTAAACTTCCTTCAGAAATCCGTTATTACCCTATGTTGAATTTTTTTGTTTTTGTATTGAACTAGGTTTGACTGGGGTCCTACGAGAGTTTTACAGATCACGAGAAACGTGTTTCGTTATCCACTAATGTTGTATTTCAAATTGAGCAATTATTGAAGTTACCAAGTAATAGTAGTGTTCTTTGCAGTCGGCACTTTGAACCTAATTGTTGTTTATAAACACACAATGGATCACAGAATGGATACACCTATTTGCATGAAACATTGATTCCTACAAAGTTTGATTTTCTTCAACATCTACAGAGACAGCCAGTAGTGCCACGAAGACTACTAAAGCAAATAACTTTGGCTAACATAGATGATGATACCCAACAAATTTGATGATACCTATGATGAGCGGAATGTGCAGCAGCAAAATAAAGCTCAAATGTCTGATCCACCACATCAGATAATCAGGCTCTTGGTGTTTCTGTAAGACAAATGTATACCAAACTTGTTCATTTTAAAAGTCAATAAATTACGTTTATTGACGGGTTACTGCATTTGAAAATATTTATGGGGTTGTCCATAAATTATGCCCACATTTTTCTTGAAATTTTTACTCCTCCTCTCCTCTTATCCCAGTTTTTCCAAATTTTCGTAACTCCTTCCTCTCTTCGAACGTACAACAAAATTCGACTCTCCTTAAACCTTTTTCACTTTACGAATGATAGATACCATAAATAAAAACGAAACGTACAAGAGATTTTGAAATAAATATAATAAACTGCATAAAACTTTATAAATTTTAATGAGATATACGGACGTCCACTGAAACTCAACTCCCATCCCCGTCCGATTTTTGTACGACTTGTCTTAAACCCCTCCTCACTCTCTTCCAGTATGGGCGTCATTTATGAACAGTCCCTAAGAACGGTTGTATATTATCCAATACAGACACTCCTCGATTTACAAAAAAACTCCAGGAACCAATCGTGTTCGTAAGTCGAAGAGCGTCTATTTTTTTTTTGTTTTTTGTATTCCTTAATTTGGCGAAGTGTTCAGCCGATATAAATAATAACTTAACTACTGGTCAAGGGCGTCGCCAAGGGAGGGCAGGAGGGAACAGCTGTCCCCTAGAAATTCGAAAAAAATTATTTAAATGCTAAGTTTTAATTAAAATAATCTTCTTAGGCTTCTTGTAAATTAAAAAAAGTTTTAATTAAGATGTTTCTTCTCCGGTACATAGCAAATGATTAAAATTTTTTATGAATCGTTTTTATTTTACCTACATACAATTCATATTCTCTATCAATTTATATCATCTTGACCCCCGGCCCATTGTAATTTGCAGAAATGATAAATAATAAATGAAATTTATTATTTATCATTTCTGCAAATTACAATGATGAATAAGAAATTGATAAATAATAAATAAAATAAATAATAAAATGATAAATAATAATAAATAAAATGCAGAAATGAAAATGGTGTATTTATGTGATGAACGGTCGTATCTGTATTAGGTATTTCCTGCAGGTATTCAAAGATGACGGCCCGGTTCGAGGTCTAGTAGTTATATGTCGTTGCTTTTAACGGTTGTTTGGACGATATGATGTCATGGTGGTGGTCACAGTGACGCCATATCATCATGATCAAACACAATATCAATTCACAATAAAATATCGTTATGATGAAATTTAAATAGACGTCATATCTCATATTCTAGTATATGTATAGTAATTTTAATTAATTAATTATATTTTTTCGTAAATTACTTATTGGAGAACACTGTATTTGACACGAAAAACATTTTTTTTTATTCCAGTAATAATCACATGAATTGATTATGCAGATATTCAGCTCAAATGATAATTTATCTTGTAATTACATAAATTAAAACTACACCGGATATTGATGATAAAAAATTTTAAAGCAAAAAAAAAAAAAATTTAAGTTTCAAAAAGAAATAAATTTCAGTGCAAAATCAAATTTTAAGAGTTAATATTCTGGTCACTGTGGTTAGTTGTTAGTTTAAAAAAAAAAGATAATAAAAACCAGGTTGCTGACCTTTGTTCTAATCTACATATAATTTAAAATAATTTTATTCATAAGATAAAACTTATCTCATAATTATATTAATTTTATAAAAAAAAATCTTAAAAGCTAACTTAAATATTGTTAAATAAAAAACTTTATCAACACAAAATCTGTTAGATATATTAAACACGTGTTATTTCCATATTTATTATAAAACTTGTACCGTATAATTCCAAATTTAACCATAAGTTAAAACAATTTCAATAATTTTCTTGCTGCCCAATTATTAAAATGTAAAAACACGAAAATTTTTATGCTTTAGGTCAGTGGTTCCCAATTAGTGGTACGCGTACTCCTGGGGGTACGCGCGGCAATCTAAAATCGGTCGATTTAAAATTTAAATGCACGACATGAAGCAATCAAAAGAATAATGGGTGGACCATCAAAAATTCGGCAATTTACAACACGATGTCGAATGCACAAATTCGTTTATTTATAACTAAAAATATTCTCGAAATTTCATTAAAAAAAATGCATTTGTGACAATACCTAAATGAAATTCTTACGCAAGATACAAAAATTGTACAATTATCATTATCATCTTGTCAGCGAAGCGGCAATAAAATATTTACTACCATTTTGCACAGCATACCTCTGCGAGAGCGGATTTTCGGCCGAGACAAACATGAAAACTAAACATCGTCATCGACTTCGACTCGAAGATGACTTGAGACTGAAGCTGACCAAAAAGCAACCATATTTACAAAGTCGTGCAAAGAAAATCGTGCACATTTGTCGCATCAAAATTAAATAACCTTATGTTATTTTCATTATTATTAGAATTGTATTTTAAAGGTAATAAATGTAAAAAAAACTTATACTATTTATTACTAGCTGTCTACCCACAGCTTCGGCCGCATTATATCAAATTTTCTCGTGGGAGTAAGATATTTTCTCGCAGTAAAATGTAGCGTATGTCCATCTCCAACATGTAAGCTATCTGTGCCAAATTTTATTAAAACCTGTTTAGCAGTTTAGACGTGAAAAGGTAACAGACAGACAGATTGCCTTCGAATTTATAATATTAGTATGGATTAATATGGATTTCTGCTATAAGGGGTACGTGAGTTTTAGCTCTTTATTGAAATGGTACGTAGGAAAAACTAATTGGGAACCACTGCTTTAGGTCATTTCAGAAATTTTCACAAGAGGAAAAAACAGTCAAAATTTTTATAAATTATATTTAAAAGTAGCATAATCTATTTAATTAAAAACAGGAAAAAATTAGAAACAAAAATTTTCTTATTTCATATGTTAATATTACAATCCTAGTATAAGGGTATTTACAGATAGTAACTTAGCACAACAGGATTTTAGGGGATGGATCAGTTCATAATGAAACGATTAATTGAACGAAGTGATTAGAATTAATTACTGTTTTATTTGCTACACAAAATTAACGAAACTTTGCAAGCCAATAGAGATTTTTATGTTTTATATCGTTCTACAAAAATAATTTTAAAAAATTGTACTTTATGACCACAGTTTTCTACATCGTTTATTTCCTTGCACTTTCCCTCGCGGAATCCTTGTTTACAATTTAACTAAAATAAGAATATATTTATTACATTAATTTTTAATTAATGAAACAAAATTATGCTGATTGATGACGTAATATATTTTATTTAAATAACAATTAAATTTTGTTTAACATATATAATTCAGAAATTTAGGAATCATGTTATGAAGAATTATAAATAATTTTCTCATTATTTTCAACATCACTTCAAATTTCATTCAAAATACAGTATTCGATTTTGATAATCGAATAACACTTTCAACTTTCAAATTTTCTGACAGTTTAGGAAAGCATTAGTAAATTCTTATCTTCCACACCCTTGTTTTTTTAATTTTTATTTTTTTAATTTTTTAAATCAAAAATAATGTCTTCTTTTTCTCGAAGAGACAAAAATATAGGAAGTTATTATCTTCCACCATTTTGCTCAAAAATTTCTTCAACTACTTATGGTAAGAAATGGTTCCATGATGATCAAATGGATCATCTACCTAANTATATATATATATATATATATATCATGTACCTAAAACTTTATATATATATATATATATCATGTACCTAAAACTTTATATATATAAAGAATTTACAAGATAATACATTCTGTTTAGGTGTTAGATACAAAAACCCAGTGTTCTGGGTTTTCTTCATGTATCTATTAGTACAAATCATACATATACATGTGTCTATATGTAGTACATATATGCATATGCATATGTCATACATATACATAGTTCATGTGTCTGTATGTACAATTCGTATACATTGTAAATATCAAATAGAGAAAATTTATTTATACAAGTACTATTACTTGTATATTCCAGACGTCCCCGATTATCGAAGAACTGTCCCGGTTTTGCCTGTTTTTATTTGATTTTAGAATCAATCTTTGAATAGAGCAATTTTATGAACACCACAATATAATAGCATCAATTTATAGGCCAATAAATAAATAAATTTAAAAATATTATCAAAGTTAAATCAGTTTTAGACTCTATTTTCACTTATTCTGTGTAACTCAAATTAAAGTGTCCCAGTTGGGTTGTAAATGTTATGGCCAGTCTACCTAAGATTCTTTATTATGCAGAACTATATAATAAAGAATTTTTGGTTATTCGAAGTTTAGTATAAATTAGTATGGCTCCTAAAAACATGGAGTATGTTTGATATTTTTATAACTTACAGCATTAGTAATGATACAAAGTTTAATACAGGGTGTTCCAAAAGTTTCCATACATACTCGTACAAAGGTGAAATGTAACTTTATTCACAAAAGATTAAAATGCCAGCATTAAGATTTGTGTCAGTGGATTGACGGAGTAAGGCAACAGAACACATGGGTGATCTGCCAATGGGGTAACTTCTAGTAGGACTTTCTATATGGGAACTGGATTCTGTTTAGATGTTAGATACATGAAGAAAACCCCGTGTATCTATTAGTACAAATCATATACATGTGTAGTACATATATGCATATGCATATGTCATACATATACATAGTTAATGTGTCTGTATGTACAATTCGTATACATTGTAAATAATGTTTTTGACTAATGTTTTGAATAAGGAATTCGTAATTACAAATATGTATTGCAATACATAAACGCATTATTAATTAATAATCAAAGAAATTAACTGAAAACATAAAATATTAAAGTAAAAGTTTATCCGGTTGGCTGCCAGATGTTGAATTTCGGTTACTTTTAGATATATTTATTAGTAACTATTAGGCACATTCACTATGAAACATGAGTTTTTTTTTATTCAAAATGGCGGATTATCTATGTTCTATCATATGAAACTTTCCTTGTTTATTACACTATATTCAACTCTTTGGTAGGATTTATTTTTAAAAATATTTTGCCTTATATTAAAACAATTATATTTTGTTTAATTATCTTGTGTTTCTCTTCCTTAAAAAGAGGAAGCTTTTTAAATAAACCTTTTTAAAAAATAAGGAAAATAGAAAACAGACGATCTGAATTAATCTTTCCATATTTGCCAGATTCCTCTGTTTTGTGTCTTGCTATTTTCGGCTAATTGCGTCATACTTTACTTTTATAAATTTAAATTGATTTTATTACATTAAAATTACTTTAAAATATTTTTATAAATTTTAAAAAATAATTCAGCTTTAATTTTTTATAACAACATACAACTTTGCTAATCAAACAAACAGCCAGATTCTTATTGGGCTACATTAAGGCTAATTAATTTGTTAGAGTTATTTAATTTTTTTAATCGAATATTTAAAAAATATTCCGATGATCGCTCTGTAAACAATGTATATTTTATTTAAAAATTAGAACATATAAATTTATTTTACTTTAAATGATAATAACTTGTTATTTATTACATAGGAAACTCCATACAGTAACAAAAAGGTACTTGTTGATAACTGGGAAGAAGAATTGAGCGATGTCAGAAATCGCGAATATTGGAAAAAAAGAATAAGTAATGTATGCAACTGAACGTTTTTAAAAAAATATTTATAATATTGCGGTTTATATTTTATTTAATTTATTTTTTATAATTGATACAGTACGAACATTGTTACTTAACTACTTACGGTTGTAGTTATAACCGGTATGGAATTATTATCCCTCCTAAATTTAATGGTAAATTCTATCAATAGCTCAATAGATTAGTTTAATAAATTAGAAAATTTTGCTATTTTTATATAATAAAATTATTATTATTTTAATTTTTAGATAAAGAACCCCGCTGCTTACCGTGTCACCAACCTGAGCTGGATCCTGATTACATGAAATCCCCCAAATTTTATCAAAGTATAACTCAAACATCGTATAGCGATCCTCATCCGAAAAAAATCCAAAAGAATCTTATTCCAGAAATCCAAAAAACTAAAGAAGCAGCAACTCAGACTTATCCTCAAGAAGAAAGCATTCAAGAATTTCATAATTTTTAATTATTATTTTAATATTAAAAGATCGCGCAATCATTTTGTTACGTTATTAAATAATGCCAGATGTTTTGAGTTACCATAAAAACCATTATTTAAAATTTACATTTTGCCTGAGGGAAAATCATATCCATGTCTAGACTTTTTAATTCTGAGTCCTACTTTTACAGATTTGTTGATAACTAGATTGTTATATTAATTTTTAAATGAAAAAAATTAATTTTTTTTGCTCTGTTTAACTTGTTTTTAATTAATATATTTCACAGAAAAAAAAACACTTAAACGTTTAAATAAAATGATATATCAATTAAACGATACTTCCTGATTAATTATTTATTTTAAATTCTAAAAATTAAATATATATATAACAACTAAAAAATTTAGATTTCAATATATATTAAGTAATAATTATTTTAAATGTAAGTTTTTCTCAGAATATGATTATGTAAGTCTTAAAATTTCTTCCTGGATTTTTTTAATATATATATTTATTATTTTTGTTTTATTAAATTTAACACAACATGAACATTGAATACTACTTAAAGTCTATTTTTAATCACATGTTTAAAAATAATAATCAAGTTATTCATTTTAATAACAACGTAGGTTCATTTTTAAATAAATTATTTATTTAAAAATTATGTATATTCACTATATTATTTTAATAATTTAATGCTTTAAATCTAAATTACCTCATTTAAGTTCACTTAACTTGAAGGTTAAGGATCTTAATAAGATGAAATAAAAATTTTAAGTAATATTTGTTATTTTTTTTACAAATATTTAATGAAAATAATTTTGAAATTTCTTTAAAAATTTCATAAAAGCGTATGAAATTGTGACAAATTTCTGAAGTGTTCACATGACGTGAAGATATCAACCAATCAATGCGCGTTTTTCAAAACCAACAACCTGTTATTGGGTTCTTATAGTGGCAGGTAGAAGCAGGTCGCAAATAAATAGATTGTACAATAATCTGACATCCTTAAGATTTCTTTAGAATTTTCGGTACAGGATGGGAAAGCACATAAACTATCTGTTTGGTTTATTTACTTTTATCTTCATCTTTACATGGATTAATGCCGAATCGCCCACTGCTATACCATGTAAGTTTAATTTTCTGTGTAAGATATAAGGAATTGTAATTAAGAAAACATTTTCTATTATGTATTCTAATGGTATAATGTACTTTACGTTGTAAATTATACGGAGAAATCAGTTTTATTTCTAAATTTAACCGACCCAGAAACCTAGAAACATCGGTCATTTCCCTCGGGGAATTGTCAAGTACACTTAGTAAAGGAAAAGTTTTAATGATGTTTTTAATTTATAAATAAGTTTATATCCTAATATAGATTGCAAAATACAGACATTTTACATAATTTTGAAGCTCTTCAATTATACTATTAGAGTATAAAGTAAATATATAGGCTATATAACTTTGCGTAATCGTTTAGAATAAGTCACCATACAGGAATTTTTTTGTTATTATTCTATATTATCTTTAAACTAGATTTATAATTTTTTGACAATGATTATAGGCTACATTTTTAAGGAAAATCACGTAATCATCAACGTGTTTTGCAATCAAATGCAGCCTACAAACTCTGGGTGAAATGCCTTTAAAAAGTGTCACTGTGGCAAAGTAACTAAAAGTAGGTCTTTGACACGTTATTAGATAAAAAGATGTATCATGCTGAGAATTGTTGAATTGTTAATTGAAAGTACTTCAAAAAATGATCTACTTTGTAATTTAATTACAATTAACGAGGAAATCTTTTATTCTCACTGTCATTTTCCTTTAAGGATTATTAACCTCACTGAAAAGTGAAAGAACAATATAATATCAATATAATATCAATTTTTCCTTTTTATTTTTTAAATAAATCAAACAAATCTAAGGAAACTTTTCTTTAAAAAGGAAACATTTTTATGAGAAATTATTTGAAAAATCAGATACCTTATAACCCAATTTTCCTTAAGAGAAACTGTTTTTTCATTTTTTCTTTCTTTCTAAAAAAAAAATCTGATTTTGAGGTTAATGACAAAACTTCTTATTGATGGTATCTAATGTGTTTTATTGTTATAGGTCGTGGTACGTCACAAAGTGCACGGAATGTCACTATTGATGTTTCTGGATGTACAAATACAACTAGATGCCCTTTAATCAGAGGATCTTCTCATATAGTGACTGTTAGCTTCAGTAAGTTAAAAATAACAACGTAAATAAGTTTATTAGTCTTGCTTATTTATGTAACTATTAATTTATTTTTATTAAAATTACAACTTATTTATTTATATTTACAAATTTCGTTTTCTCAGTTCCTACAAAGAATTCTTCATCGAATGTTAACAGGAGGATTTATGGCGTTTTTCATGGTTTACCAATTCCTTATGGAAGAAGTGAAAAAATATGTGAGAATGCTAGAGATGAATTTAACTTAACATGTAAAGAAACCAAAGGATTAATTGCAGATCGAAAATATACTTACAATTCAATGTTTCCAGTCCAGCCGTTTTTTCCTTCGGTATGTTTTATGTAATTTCAAATGCTTTTGTCTATTTAAAAAATAAACAATTAAACAATTCAGCCGATAAAATAACCAGTTTATAATAAAATTTTGCTAGTTAAATGATCGAAATAAGTGTAAACTTACTTTATTTTTAACTGTTCAGTAGTTTATAACAAGTTTTAAATTACGATATATCAGTAATGTTTAATAATGTTGACACTGTAATTTAAACACAAATAATTACACTTAATTTATATTTAAGTTCAGTAAACATTTTAATTTATTTGATTGTTTTAAAATATAGTTGGCGCTTAACGTCAGATATCAATTTACCGATGGAAAAAATGCAATAGTGTGTGTGGAGTTACCAGTGAAGATAGTGTAAGTATTATTTATTATTATAATTATTTTATTCTTGCAATAAATTTTCGCAGAAATAATTTTTTTTTTAAATTTATTTTTATTTATAGATCTCGTCATTGATACTGTAATATATCATTTTTATGAATGGTTTCTCTTTTTTTTAATGGAGTTCCTTTCAGAAACAGCTAGTCTTTACTTTAACATCAACCAAATAATTCGTCCATAAAAAAAATTGTAAACCATCATTTATTTTTCTTTCCCGTTTTTTTCATTTGTACGAAAGTATTTCATTAATTACAAAACTAATTTTTTAACTTTTGTAATAAAAAAAATCATGTAATATTCACTTTTTAGCTAGACTTTTATATACGATTTGTAATTTTTATGTTTTAATAAATGTCAGTTAATAAATTTTTCTGAATAGTAAATTCTTTGACTATTTAAATTATATATATTTTTTTTGTTATTAAATTGAATAAAACCTCTTAATTTTTTATTATTTCTCGCATATTTAAGGATATAAAAACATATCTAAATAAGAAAATATGAGAGCTAAAACAAAATTCATTCCTTCATTAATGTCAAGATTATAAAGTTTCAAATAACAGAACAGAAATGTATTTTTTTATTTTTATTTTTTAATTTTGAATCGTCTGATACCGAGCAAGACATCATTTGAGAGGCCTGAAGAAAGGGACTTCAAAATTATGACCTAAGATTTATCAAAGTATGCCTGAGGAATCTCGCATAGTTGCTAAATTTATATAGTTAAAATCTGGACTAAAATCTTAGATTACATCCTTAAAAATTGCATGTGAATTATTGATTATATTAAATTATTAAATAACATAAGTAGATACATCTAAACATATATATTATAACAAATATCTGGGTTAATGTTACTCTAATTTTCTATTAATGATCTATTAAATTATGGTAAGAATTTCGAAACGAAAGTAACAAGCCATTAAATATCTTCTTACTTATTTTCCTATAATCATTCTAATAGTACCTGATATATCATTAATTTAGTAAATAAAAATCATTATTTTAAAGATATTTTAAAAATAGAAACATAACTGTCATGATTTTCTGTTTCCACTTATTTATTTATATAACTTATTAATATAACTTACTGTTAGTACTTCCGCTTGAGCTAAATATTAGTAATTTGCAAAGAAATATCTCTTAATACTAAATTAACAGAATAAACCTAAAATTTCAATATGCTATATATTATATTTTAAAAATATTATTTATTGTTTCAGTTGATACATTAAGAATTATAAAATTAATAAAATCGAAAGATAAATATATTTGATACTTTGCCCAATTCATATGGGCTTATGCCATTCTTTCTGATTATTTATAATTTTTTAATGTAAAATTTTTATTAAATATTAAAAAATAATATCAGCAGATATAGTAACCAGACCCAGAGCCGAACATACAATTCTCGGTTTCAAAACGCTAATCTCTTGAGGACCCTCTTTAAAAATAGTCAGAAAAAAAACCTTATATAAATAATTAAATTAAAGAAAAACAAATTTTTTTTACTGTTAAATGTTGTAATAATGCAAAATATAAGAAATAATACTGAACTAAACTATAACTTCTGTGTAGCAGCAACCCATGAGTGACCGGCCATAAGGCTTTGACCCTTAGTATAAGCGCTCTAATCGATAAAGCACAACACATTTAATATTTTTCATTAGAAATAATAATATAATTTTCTTATTGGTCGTTCACAGAAATATAGAAACTTGCATAGAATAGGACAAAAGAAAATATTTGGCTTAACCCTGTATTCTAATTTTGTTTATTCACTGCAACGCAGTTTAATATTTTTTTGCTTCAAATAAGTAAGTCGACTATTATTTGTGTTCTTGCACTGGAATCCAAACTGTCTGCATAATTCTAAAATTTATTATTGTAATTTTATGTAGAAAAATCCGTGTTTATTTTTTTCTTTTGTAAAAATTAACTTTACAGGAGGTTCTTATAGGCCTATATACAGATTCCCAGAACTGTGCCTCATGTGCTTGTAACTAGGTCCCGCCCAGATCCAGTAAGAGGAACTGCAAGCAAGACCATTTCATTAAGCTCAAAGCATAAATCGGCTCCAAAATCTAGTCTTTTAAGTACAAAAAATAAAAAATAATAACAATCTGAAAATAATATAACATAGGCTAATAGGTACGTACATAACTGAAATGAATTCTCGCATTAAAAGATACATTTAATTACAATAACATAATTATTCCTAATTATTATTCAAATATAAAAGAACTAATTTAATTAATTAAAAATTTGTAGGACTACATATTAGAAAATAAATTTAAGAGTTTAATTCTTTAAATATATAAATATTATTTTTTCAATTAAAAAAATGGGTTATTTTCTTTAAAAATTTAAATAAAATTTGTATATTAAGTTTAATTGACTTGTTTCAAAACTTCATTCTTAATAAAGTAGTCTCATTTTTTATTGGGTTGAAATAATTTCAGATTTTGATTATGCATATATTCTTACGAGCATTATCTTAAGAGTTCCTTCCGTTATTTTCACTGTTCATATATTGGTTATGGCCTTATAGGACTATTATGAAGATAATAATATAGTCTTATTCTAAGTTATTCGTCTTATTCAGTTTTGAAAAATGTTAAGAGTATATTATAATCAACGATCCATTCTTAACATCTTCGAAAACATCCGAAAAACGAAGCTCTCATAGTTGTCATGCACATTAATAGTAAACAGGAACGTAATAAAATGAAGGGGTTAATTTTTCAAATCAGACGAACTCAAGGCAACAAATTGGAAAAGCATTTTTAACATTTCAACAAAATGAGAACATTGTCGTAAATAGCGCTTATTTTTATACTATAAATAACCTAATACAGTTATTTTTGTTGTATAGAAAATCGAAATACGTAACGAAATAAAAGTTGAAAAATAATTCAACAAAAAAAATTAACTACTTATGAATTCTGTTAAAAAAATATATATGCTACATTTTTAATTTTCCAATAAGTGTTTTGAATTTTATTTCATTAGTCATTTATGAAGGCAAAGAGTTTGTTTCGATACTTCAAAAACTTGGAAACAAGAATGAAATACATAACGTTTCAAGAATTATTAAAATTAGAGAATTAAAACGCATACAAAATATAATTTATAAAAGTAAATCGTTAAAATAATTTTTACAGATTTTTATAATTGACTACTTAAAACTAAATTAGATTTTTCTAATGAAAACGAGAATTAATAAAACGAATGCCTTTCAATTTTATCATTTTAACATTAAAACTAAAATTTTACAAAGAATAATATCTAAAATATTTTCATTCAATTATTCTCTTCATTTAATATTTTAAATTATTTCATTCTCAACGAAAATTTCTTCCATTATAACATATAGTGCTATTAATATTTTATATCAAATAGCTAGATACAGTATTATAATAATTAATTGTCATATATAAATTGAATTTTATTCATCTTTACTAAGATATAATTTAAATAAAATTTAAGTTTGTTTGTTTAGAAATGTCATGATCATTGTACAAATTACAGGCTACTTATTATGACCACGTGCATATTTTCCCATTCAAGATCAATTTAAGCAAGTTTAATATAAATTTTATGAAATATTCTAATAAATTTACAAATTTGTTTTTCCTTTTCATATTATTTTTATCTTTTCAAATAATTTATAATTTCCTTATGAGAAATGTATCAGTTTTTCCAAAGTTATTGAACTTAAAGACAGCAGTATCTTAGTAGTAGTGGGAGTTGATAAATTCTAAATATAGCAGTTTGTATGATGAAGCTTAAATACCATTGAACCAACTGTACAGGAACTATCCATGTGCAGTTAGTTCAGTTAGTTCTGTAAGTTCAATTTCACTATATTTTAAAGAAAGTATTTTATTTAAATATTCTATCAAACAGAAATCTAAAAGCAATTGGCTAAAATTAAATTATTATTATTTTTTCTATAATTCTAATTTCGAAGTTAATAATATAAAACAATTATTTAAAATGAATTAATAATTTCTCATCAAATTTANGAATTTTATTTTATATTTTATATAATATATAAAATATATTTATAAATATTAATTTAATGAAAATAAACTACGTACTGTACTATACTGATATTCAAAAGTATCATTAATAAATTATGTATCTGTCAATAAAAGTATGTAAATAATAGCCATCAGTTCCAGATCAAATTAAATAATTTGAAATTGTTCCACTTTTAAACCTCACAGTCATTGTTTTAAATCATTTAAAATTATTTTAAACTGTTTAAAATCAACCATAAAATATTTAGCAATTTATTAACATATAATCATTTTTAAAACATTAAAACTAATTACTTATAATAATTACTTTTAATGTACTGTAATTATTATAAGTAATTAGTTTTAATGTACAGTAATGTAAGAAATTTAACAATGGTTTAAAAAGTAAATGATCATTAATTTTATTACAGTAAGGTGTAACAGACTTTTTAAACAGAACCAAAATATTTGATTATTCTGTACTTACTTTGGAATTAATATATTAGAATGTCTAAATTACAACTTATTTGGTGTATTTATTATATAAATTATATATTTAAATATTAATTACATATATTTTTTTAATTCATAAAATGTATGATTTTATTTACTGTATATGAAATTGTGAATTGTGTTGAGTTGCTTCTTTACCTAATTGCAATACTCTCATAACAGAATTCAAATTCTAAATTTCTTTGATACGTTCCTTCTATTCTTTATTTTCTAACTGCTGTTCTATTCTTATAATTAACTTTCAATAATTAATTTTTAAAAATTTAAACATTATTATTTATATACTGAATTATATACAGAGAACAATTATGTATCTAGACAAATAGAAATTTGTGCGTACTATTAATTAATACAAAATGAATTGCAAGTAATCCAACATCGACAAATTCTCATGCAAATAATCCGAAAAAATGGACAATGAGTCAGATTTTTTTTGTTTCTACTCTATTAATAAGTACAAACAATGAATATTCTATACTATTATAAATATGTCCTAATTTTGACAGGACAATCGAGATTTTTTTGTGTCCATATCCTGCTTTTCAACTAATTGACTAAGTGACTAAACGTCCTGATTTTATAAATGCAAATTATATAACTAAAAATTAAATAATGTATTAATTAATTAATTAAGAAAGAAGAATTATCAAGTTCTTAAATTCTAAAATTTATT